GGTAGGAGGAAGAGGAGAGGAGGAGGAGGAGGAGCTCTTTTCGCGATCGTAATAAAAGAATCCTTGTAATGGCTTTCGCCGAAGATCCTCTCCCCCCCCTCCCCCTCCTCCCCTTCCCTCGATATTTCCCCCCTCCCTCCCTCCCTCCCACCTAGCACGGGCTATTAAGCTTCGAAAGGCGAAGACCTGGCCTGCGCGCACACGCGCACGCACACTCGTAACGTGCGTGTAAGTGCGCGCTGGAGTCCGGTCGAAGGAGCCACGGTTAATTCCTTTAACCCTTATAGACTTGGAGAAAATTTAGGGAGCCGCGTATAAACTGGAGGGAGGGGGAGGTGTCGGGCGGGAAAGCACGAGGGGGGGTAGAAGAGAAGTAAGGAATACCAGGTGCTCGTGGGATCTTGGAGGCATCTTACGCCCGGACGATACATAATTTATGTCGCGCTCCGGTGGGCTTAAGACAGTATTAAGATCGACCGAACACCAACTATACTCCTTGCACCTACCCCTCTCCCTTGCACCGACTCCTCCTCCTTCTCCATTCGCGCTATCTTTATGTCTCTTTTCGCGTGCGTGAGGCAAGCAACGGTTAGAAGAATCGAAGGAAGGAAGGCGGTTGATTAAGGTTAAGGTAAGGTTTCAAGTAAGAAGGTGATTTTTTTTTCTCGAGAAAAGGATTTTGGATTTTGAGTAATTTTTTTGATAAAAGGAAGATCTGTGGTCATTTTTAACATAGTTGTGGAAGTTGTTTTCTTAAAAGGAGTTTCATTAAAATGTATCAAATATATTCTTCTTGTAAAGAAGCTTTTGAATATTTTCAATCAAATAATTTTTTGCCAAAGCTAAAAATCGAGGATCTGTGTTCGAATGTGTTTCGAAATAATTTTGGAAGAAGTCTTGCCAAAATCTGTCTTTTTTAAAAAAGCTCTTGGCTTCATCTTTTCAAAAAGAAAGAAAACCCTGAACAATCTCTCGAAAGACCACCAAACTTTCCCTTTCAATTCTCGATGATTGACTTTCGACTTTTTCGAAAAAAATAAGAAACGATGAGAATCGCGGGAGAATCGAGGAATTTTTCTCGAGGAAGAATTTGATAAATTATAAATTTCGGATATAATCGGGGTGGAATGGTCGTCGAAGAATGCTGATTAGTTGATATTTCATCCGAGGATCAGCGGGAATTCCATACAGCTTAAGGATGTTCCTCCTCCTCCTCCTCCGTGAGAGGATTCGGACCGTGGGGTGGCTGATACGATGCCAATAGCTTTTACCCATCTCGTGATTGGCCAAACAGAAACCGTTTCCTCTCTTGACACACGACCTGTGTCTTTTTGATCCGATACACGCGTATCCTTGCCGGGGGAAACGGTAACAAGACACGTAATCACGGGCCAACCTTATATAAGGGATGTTCACCGACACACTTCTTCAATCCTGCAATCCTTCGAATCGAACATTCCACTTGGATCCTCCCTTCGAACATTTAATTTTAATTATTTGAGGAAGATGTGAGAAATTTTCACAATTAAAAATGTGAATTCGTTAAAGATACCTTCAAATCTCTCGATTCGAACATTTTCTTCCGGCGAACATTCAATTTGGATCCCTTCAAAATATTTAATTATTTAAGGGAAATATAAGAAATTTTCACAATTAAAAATATGATTCGTTAAAAATACCTTCAAAACTGTGCGAATCGAACAGAACATTATCGCTGCTTCGAGATGCTTTGCCTTCTCATCGAAAGATTCTATTAAACGATTCTTACAGGCAAATTTCACTTTCTCACTCGAGTAAGAATCAATTTCAATTCGACGCGTCCACGAATAACCTTTTTCCAGAAAAAAAAAACAAAAATTCCAAAAACATTCGCAAATATTCGTTTATTCTTATCTCCTCTTCTCGTATATAAATAAACACGCGAACGATAAAGGAAGAAGAAGAGAGATCGGTCGAGAGATTAGATCGAGGCAGGAAAGAGATGATCGAATCGGTGAAAGAGAGAGGTGAAAAGAAAAGGCGGGAGTCGAAGTCCCCGGAGTAAAGGGGCCAGGAGGGAGGGAGTTCGAAGAGGATGGAAAAATAATTGAAAATTTTCGGGAGCGGTCAACGGTTTGGGCGGCGTTCTAGGGATTGGAAGCGATGTCTTGGCTGGCCGACTCGTGATAAAGCAAAGAGCCCGTGCTAAATACTTACATAAATCTGTATTGCCTTGCGCAGCACACCGGAGAAGAGAGGCTTATACTACTCCTACACGACCGTGCGATCACGCGTACAAACGCCTCGCAGGCCGAGTGAGTGTAACGGGGCGGGGGGGAGAGGTGGCGGAAGAAGGAGCAGGGGGGACAGAGGCGCGCCACCGGCCGCGACGAACGACGTAACAATAATCGGTAAACTTAACGAGCAAGCGAGGAAAAAGGATTCGTTCGTTTTGGAAATTATAGAAGTATATATATCTTTATATTCGTTATAATCAGATGTTAATTATTTAATTGAAGAAAAGTAGTTGATGTAAGAGTCGTATACTTGTATATATATATATGTTTTCTTTATATTCTTTATATTATAGCTAGATGTTAATTATTTAATCGAAGAAAAGAAGTTGATATACGAGTCGTATACTTTTTTATTTTATTATCTGTATATTTTTCTTCCTTTCATTTTTATCATTCTTATTAAGACTGCAGTCGATACAAAGTTGTACGGTTTTCAGTATTTATATTATTCTTATCTCGTTATAATTTTTGCGTTAATTCGTTATTTAATCACGAACTTATACGAGTCGTATACTTCTTTTTTATATATTTATATTTTCTCTCATTTTTATTCGTTAATCGGTGTTACTTGATTCATTATTTAATATTTTTCTTCCTTCCTTTCGTTCTTTCATTATTCTTCGATTTATTATTTAATTAGGGATCGTTACGTAAGTTTATATAAATTGTTAAACACTTTTCAGCATTAATTAATTAGGGACATAGTCGATGCACAAGTCTATACTTTTTTTACCTATGCTTTCCTTCGTAATTGCTATAATCTCGTTATTATTTAATCACGAATGCAACGTATAATACATTTCTTCTTCGTTTCATCATTTTTTTACAAACTTCGCCAGATAATTTCATTATTAATCGTATATAATCATATATCACTTAATTGTAAACACAATATATTATTACAATTTAATTAGAAAAAAATTAGTTAAATTGCAAATTTATAATTTCGCTTGTAAATAAAATTCTTGAAATCATTACAATATATGTACAAATATATTTACCTTCGTTCAGTTTTCAATTATTTAATTCGTTTGATCATCGAATCGAAACATTTTTTGGCCAACATTGGAAACAAAACTAGACCAGGGTCTTCCTTTTATCCGTTTATCAATTGACTACCCTCCATCCACCTCCACTCCCCTCTCCGTCCACCGCTTCTTGGCTTCGAGGCCGCGTCGACGGGTGGCGCGTTCCGATATTTATGGCTCCCTGTATATTACACGCCACCTTCCCACCACCACCACCGCCCCTATACACACCACCCTTAAATGTACGTCTTCGATTTACCATAGTCGTCGATTCGAGGACCGCAAAACTCGTTCCCCTTCCGAAATAATGATCATTAACCCCCTCTCCACCTCCCCCCCCCTATATCACCACAAATACACAAATAATAATCAAACGAAGAGAACGCCGGTTGGTGAAATCTGAGGTATAAGGAAAAAAAGAGGAGAGAGAAACGAAGAATGGAGAAAAATCGATCGCGATCGAAAAAAAAAGAGGTGAAAAATATCTGAGAGAAGGAAGAAGGAAAAAGAAGGAAATTTCGTTGAGAAGAGAAAAGGTTTCGATTTCGAAGCGGAGAAGGAGAATACGTGGAGAAGGAGAAAAAAGGAGAGGGGGAGGGGGAGACGGCTGGAGGGAGGGGAAGGATGGTCGCTCGAATCCGCGGGTGTCAGAGCAATAAATCTGGCGGGTATATCTGAGCTCATGAATGTTATTAAGATACAACCCCCCACGAGGTGGGCGCGGAGGCAGGGGGGTGTGTACGGGGGTAGCATCGGTTAGGGAGATATAGGCAGAAGGCGAAGAAGGAAAGGCGTTGCGGCGTTGTGGATCGCGGCCGAGCCGCCACTACCGCCACCAGCCGGTCGTGGTTGGGAAGGAGGCGAGGAGGAGAGAAAAGAGAAGCGGAGAAACGGTTATGAAGAAATACCGCCACCGGTAATCCCACCATAGATCACCGCCTCTGGTGGGCCGCCTTCTCTGTATCTTTGCCTCTTTTCTTTCCGCCACCGACTTCTTCTTCCTCCTCTTCCTCTTTCCGCTTGTCTTCCTTCTCTTCCTTCTGGTTTTAATACACCGTTCCAAAGCCAGGAACAAGAGTCACGTCACGTGGAAAAACGGATTTTGTTTCGGTTGTTTCGGGATATTCGATTTGGAAATTCGTTTTTCGATTCGTTTCTCGCGAGAACGGCGCTGGAGATTCAAGAATTCCGAGGGAAACGGTTGCAAACGGTTTAATCTTGCCGTGTGTAATACGATATGGTAGAAGAAAAAAAAACAGCGTTTCATTATTTACGAAGAAATCGAATCGAAGATTTTGATTTCTCTTTATTTAAGATAAATTCTCAATACTCAAAGTATCGAGAAACTAGATTTCGATATTCAATTCTTGATTATCATTTACAGAGAAGTATCAAAAAAGTATCAAAAAAATAGGTTTCGATATTTATTCCTGGTTATTTATAGGAAAGTATCAAAAAAGTATCCAAAAAGATAGATTTCGATATTCGTTGTTGATTCTCATTTACAGGGAAACGAAGAAATCGAATCGAGGATACTCAACACTTCTCAAAGTCATCGAGAAATCAAGTTTCGATATTCTCGAATATTATTATTATTATTATTTACACGAAGAAAGGAAGAAATAAGATAATCGCACTTGCTAAGGCATAGCAATCTTGAAACTCTCGGACACGTAAGTTCGCCCTCCCTCCTCCACGGTTGCTTAATTAATTGAGCTTTCCAGCTACGAAATGGACCGCGTCCTCGACATCAAAGCGAAGCTTTCGCTCTTCCCCCTCCCCGAAACCTCGTCTATCAAAGTGTCCTGCTTGCCAATTAATAGCACGGACCCGGATATAATATTTGTCCGCGCAACGTGTCTTATCTTAGTAATAATAAGTAAATACAGAAATCTCACTGGTCACAAACTATATATATATATATATTTATACACCTCCTCTAACACATAAAACAAAGAAACGTTCTTTTTCGTTCGAGGAATGAAGAAGAAAAGATTCGTTCGATCCGAGAAGAAACAACTTCGAGAGAGAAAGTTAGGTTAGGTTTTTTGGAAGAGAAAAAGAAGAAGTAGAAGAAGAAGGGAGAGGAGGGGACGAAAGATAATGCAAAAGAAGGGAGGAAGGGTGATTTGAGACGGCGGGAGAGGAAAGACGGTAAACAAAAGCGGCGATAAATTTCATAAGTCGGCGAATTAATAAAAGATTACAGCGGCGGTTACTGCGGCCGGCCGCGAGATAAGAAAGACAGTGCGGTGGCGCTGTGCCACGAGCGCTCTCCACGGAACGGGCCGCAGCTAAATCATCGGATATCTTTGCCCCGCGATACATAAACCACCCTTCAAGCTTACACGCGTTTATATATACGCGTTTCGCGCAACGTTTTCCATCGCGGCGCTTTTATCTTCTCGCTGCAAACCCCCTCCTCTCTCTCTCTCCCTCCTCCCTCCTTTCCCCCCTTTACCAGTGCCTCCTCGAGGAGGAGGAGGGGGAGACGTCGAACGGGACGAGTGGCCGTTCACGAAGATCTTAAAGATATTTCGAATCTTTCTTTTTTCAATTTCTGATTCCTGGACGTCTGATTCATACGTGTATCGTATAAAATAATTAAATTTGCCAAATAGAGGCTCGTTGAATATCTAAAGAAATTCAATTCGTTTTATATATTCGTAGATCGACATTCATACCGAATATTGTGTATCTAAACTCGTCCATTCATGATGTGATCACTTTGCTTCATTTCGTTTCGACGAGTGCTACGAGTTTAAATTTACAGCCTGTATTCAGACATTCGATGACCGCAACGTTTCCATGTTCTCAAATAATCCACTCTTGTCTCTTCATTCTCGAGCAAACAGATGAATTATGTCACTTTTTCGTTTCGTTCTTTTCATATAATACACGATGCCTTGTCGCTCTAGTTCCCTCCTCCCCCCCCCCCTCCTCCCGCCAGATCACAAATATAACAAGCATCGTTCGACATTTACTTCAATCATATTTATTATATATATATATATTTTAAATCGCAGCCTCCACACACTAAAATATACCAGAATTCCATATAACGGTGGCGGAATGGCGCTATATTATTATTAGAGTCCCTTAAGTCTAAGAGCCTTAAATCTGCGATAAGTTATGGCTACCCCTTTCCCCTTGCCACCATCCAACTACCACCCCCATCCACATCCTTATACCATTTCTCTGTAATATCTTAGTCTACGCCGCCGCCTCTTCGCCCTTTATCTCGCATACATTATACGGCCCTGAGCGGGCCACCTTCGAAGGAGGGTGGGGGCGGCGCAGCTTCGAAAGGGGTCGAAGGGTAATTGAAAATAACTGCCGCCTCCGAAAATGCGTATCTAATCCTTCGTATTCCTCCGATCGAACGGATAAACTTCGGATGCGTTCACTTTTCTTTTCTTTCTTCTTTCTCTCTCTCTCTCTCTCTCTCTCTCTCTCTCTCTTCTTCTTC